TTGGATAAGGAACTTAGTATCAGTGACTCTTTGAGTCGAACGTCTTCCTCTGACGCTAAAGCTACGGCAGCCCCGCTGCAGTAGTAATGCAATAATACTCGCAGCTGGAGCAAATGCGAGCCTTAAGCGACGTTCTAAGGTCTGTGGCGATACGTATGATATCAATTCGCAGCTGCATAGCTCCGGGGATACCAAGAATAATACCGTTGAGCTCATAAGCAATAAACTGGATGAGCTTGCGTAGTCCGGGATGTTCATGACGGTCGTATGCTTTCAGCAGCCCATTTGGCTAGTCGACCATTAGCAAAATGCTGTTGGGTATATGCAATTTCGCTACGTAGCCGATTCGAACAATCCGGAGACTCGTCAAAAGGAATCTGAAGGCGCCGTTTTGTTTAATGTCGTTTTTTTTCTCCGCTGCTGCTTGCTTGACCTTCCATGTGAAGCTCCACACCTTTCCTTGATCCCTCACTGTAAATCACTTTGCAGCTGCACTTCTCACAATATGCAAATGCAGCGGCTTTAAAGGCTTGCTTCTGTCTGTGTGGTTGTTGTTTTCGCATTTTGTTCATGTGGCACTAAAAACAAATTCCGCCGCTCAGGTTTATGAGCCCCAGTCAATGCAAAACGTTTTCTTGGTCTTCGACTACCTTTGGGGAGAGGCTCTGCATGGACTTGTACATGCACACGAGAGATGCGAAGCTGGGGTGGGGGGGACGCCGCAGCGGTGTTGCTCTGCTTGTTAATGCTGAGGCGCTGGATCTGGATAGCGTTGGACGAGGACGACGTAGTGTCTAGGCAGGAGTGTCAAGAGGAGTCTCTTGAGGAGAATGCAGAGACGTTTGTTAAGACGCTGCTTTAGCTCTTCGTGTAACCAGACTTGAGGCGTCGGCTTTCAAAGCAGCTCGGCTACGTCTGTACCAGAATGGTAGAATGCTGTAGTGCGTCAAAGCGAAAATGGTTTGGCCGCTCCGACCATAGTTGTGCAGTTTTGATGTCATTTCTTGCAGCAGCGCACCAGTCTTGGTGGGTCAGAGAAGCGTGTAGTTGACAATTGTTGAACACGGTCGGAAACCCTAACGATAACGTAGCTGTTAGTACCGTTTAAGTATCGTTAGATACCAAACGTTGGGAAACCTATAACCAACTATAAAGTAACATAATAATTGATGGATTAAGCCAATCACAATCCACAATAACTCTACTTCTGCAAAAAGCGTGTTATCAGAAGACGGCGTACTTCAATATCCACCAGACCCAGAGGTTCTGGGCTAGAACCAGCACCAGCCATGAACCGTTGTGCCGTAAGGTGTCTGGAATGACTTCCCGGAGAGTGTTTGTCCTTAATTTAGGACATAAGTCGTCAAATTTGATAGCATAGTCAAATAAACAAATTAATTTATTTAAAGTCGTCTATTCATAAATATATACATGAACATGTATGAGACAGCGTCAAACAAAATGATACTTACGAACCATTTAGAGCGAGATAAACGAGGCCAATTGATTTTCGCACCTATTAATAACCAGAACTGTGACACTTGGTGCAAACATCCATCATAAAACTGTAAGCTACCCTTATTCAATTGCTTTTGAAACAAGGGCTCTTAAATAACACTTGAATCTCAAAATTAAAAACATATTGAGCTCACAGCACTCCTAAATGTACATGTATCATCATTTCGAGGTCCCATAAATGGCGATAATTTTTTGGGCGACCACAACTTTTTCAGTTTTAAGCATTCTGTAGCTTAGAAGGGGCTTTAATCGCGATTCGTACTTAGGCTCGTATTTGGCTATCAGAATGTTATACTCAGAACTTGAGGCTTGCATTTTAGTCCGTCCCCTTTTTCAGGACAAATTTTGTTGGGGCGTAAAGGAAAGTGATACCGGCCCGGTAGCATTGGTAGCCAGTACTTCCGGAGCTGACGCCATTTCCCGCACTAAAGAAAGTGAACTCTGCTGAGATCGGCTTCTTAGTCCGCTGGTCAGCGAGTTGCCCTTGTCGCTGAACTGCGAACTATGGCCTTAAAGCCTGAGAGGAGCCAATTAACGTATCTACATTAGCAGCAGCTGAGCAATTACATGTACTTGGCCTTGGTTTGCCTTGAAATAGTTGGTACATGTATCCGGATAGCACCAGATCGAGTCGACCCATGCCATCTCTGGTTGCAAAAAAATAACAGTTGGGTCGCGCTGGAGTTGGAAGTGTAGGTGGCTTCAGCGAGACGAGCCTAATGCTAGAAACACGTAAACTGATCGCCGTGCACGGTTGTCTGAACCGAAAGACCCTGAATTCCAATGCCACGGTGGCATTTCGAGATAGGTGGGTGGCATTGCCACCCACCTATCTCGAAGCAAAGTGTGCGATTAGCAAAGACCGTGGTGCAGCAACTTGCCACATTGGTTTCGACCAGTCTGCTATCGACGCCATGCTCAGGATTGATTTTTCCTGGATCTTTGGTTCATTTTGCAACTTGCACGCGTAGTCCGCAATTCCGTTAATACGTTAAGGCAACGACTTTCCACCATGAAGAGCAAGTGGAGCAAGAACGTATTTCCGCCATTGACACTGTCAATTGAGCAAGAGTCGCAGTTCCGTCACTTGGCACGCGGTTTGGTGCGCGAGACGCTGGCACACTTCAACACATTAAGCCACCAGCCCGAGGACGAGCGGAGCTTAGCCAAGCACAAGCGTTGGAAGACCGTCAAAACCCGCGACAACCTCACCATCTTCAAAGAGCGAGATCCACCTAAGATCTTCACGGGCACGAGTTTTGACACACCTGAGCACCAGCGCCTGGCCGAGGATGAATGGCAGCTGCCAAAGCTGCTTGTCGGTGTCGGCTCCATCGTCGGCTCGCTCGACGATGTCATGTACGGGGTCGTGACACCCGACGCAGAGTCTATGCTGCTCAAGGCTGCTATTGTGCGGAGCTCTCTGATTGACGGCGCCGTGCTGGCACAGATTGACGGACCTACGCCTGACGAGCCCTACCGGTTTCTAGGAGTCAAGTGGTTCGTCAAAGGACCACCTGCCACACTACGGGGCTTCGTACAGCCTCGAGACGTGGTGTTCGTCGAGTCTACAGGCACTTTTACTCGCTCGAATGGCGAACGTATCGGATACCAACTACTGCATCCAGTAGACTTGGATGGCTACGGAGCTCTACCGGAGCGTTCATTGACGCGTGGTCGAATCTCCATGTGCACAATCTTTAAAGAGACTGGAGACGGGAAACAGGTAGAGGTGTACGTGCGAGGCTACGTGGAGCAGCACGGCAAACTGCTGGACTCGCTGGCGCTCAAAGCTGCGTCGACGGGATTTCTGAGTTCCTGGAACGCTGTCGAGTGTAGCCATGTCAAGAAACTCATGTGGTTCGTCGAGAACCCGCACCTCGTGACCTGGAGGGAGGAAGCTGCTGCTCGTGTTCGGGGCCCTGACGCTCGAGCACCGGTACGCTCACACAGCTTCGACGGCCCAAGTGGTGTCCACTTGCGTAACCTCAGTCTGGCCAGCCCCAATGATCGTTGCGGAGGCACCTGCGGTCGCAAGATCAAGAGAGTAACTAGTGTCGGGTTGTGCTCTCTTTGCCAAGTACCGATGTGCTCCAAATGCCGCGTTACCAAGAAGCTAGCCTTTGTTACGTGCGAACTCACGCTCGAGCGGCGAGAAAGCATCATCTGCCGCTCATGCGTGGCCAGAGTGCGTCTCCAGCCCGTGCGTCATATCGCACAGCACGAGATCCGCGAAGGCCGCTACCGCTGGCAGCCGAAGCAGTCTGTTGAAGCTCGAGGTACAAAGCCTACAACGCCCTTAAGTGGATCGACAACTTCACGTTCGCAGTTTAATATTGAGCTAAGTGCAAAGAGCATCGCGCCCTCGACTACCACGAACGCTCGAAGCGAGCGCCGGGTCAAGTCTCGCTGGTTTAGACGCCACAAAAAGAGCAACGCTGAGTCCAGGCCGGTGCTGTTTGGCGAGTCCTCGACACTCACTGACTGTCAGTTGGGTGCACTTTCCCAGTGCTCGACGACAGTAGCTTCCTTGAGCACGAGCTCGCCGATCAACCCGCTGGCGTATAGCTGGGCGTCGTCTGCCAAGGAGAGTGATCTCCGCGCCCGGGTGGAGGAAGACGACGAGGACGATTGGGCCAAAACACCCGAGTTTACGGAAAACCAACAAGAGCGCCGACAGCTCTGGCACCAAATGACAGAGCTGCGGCTCGCCGTGGAGAGCACGTACCAGATTGCCAAGCAAACCACGGACTCATGCTGTGGCCCGAGCTTCTGTCCGCTCGGAAAGGCAAGTGTTGATTGCTGAAGGCGATTCGTATGTGCGACTGGTTAATTAATTTGAAATAATGCTAAATAATAAAACTTCTATAATAATTCAGAAATCGGGGCTCGTTGTTTAAACTCAGCATAAAGACATCCTCAAGACTCACCTGCCATACCCCAAGTGTTCACGTGCTGCAGCTGCATGTGTCAAGACGAGCACCCAAGCCGGGAAGCCAAAACAGCAACTTGATCGATTGTCGAACAAGAGTCGAAGACGGTGGTGAGCTGCACCCTGCATCTAGTGTCGCGGTCGTGCGGGTGCAAAGTTCAAAGCTAGATTGTAATCGTCCAAAGTTCAGAAGTAGCCATTCTGCTAAAGAATTGGCGAGTGCATTTCAGAACGGGTCAGTGCCTCGGGAAAAAGGCCACCCTGTCGCGAGCATTGACAGTGAGTGAGTCGGAGAAACAACTGTGAGGCACTCCTTCTCGAACGAAAATCCCAGATTGCAGACAAGCGAGTGTCGGGAAGTGGCACGCCCAGGTCTCTCTTATTGTGCAGGCCAACTCACGGTCACTCCACGACTGGACTTATGCTGGCATGTAGGTAGGTGACTATTCCATCAACTACCTTAGTCTATCAGCTACCTTAGTCTGGCTATGAAAACTCGCTGCACTCCATCACTCTGCATTTTGCTGCCCAGCACACATCGAAATTCCACATGACACGACGGACCAGCGACGTTGCTTCTGCGGGCTTCAGTCCTACGACGTGGACGACAGACGCGTTACCTCCCGTTGAGCTGTCGACTGATCAACGGGAGAAATACCGACTGCTTGCAACTCAATTGCTCTCAAACACACTCCGGGATTATGACATTTACTCTGCCGATCCGAGACAACGGCTTATGAGTCGACGGCGATGGAAACCCGTGAAGACCAGAGATCACATCACCGTGTACAAGGAGCGCTATCCGACGCCGAGCTCTCTGGCATCTACAGACCACCTTTCTGGTCCGCCGTCACGAACTAGTCGGGCCAGTCTAGCAGACCGCGTGTCCATGGCCTTCCGTAGCAACGAGTGGACAGAGCCCAAGCTACTCGTGGCCGCAGGTTGGGTAGAAGGCACGCTCGACGACGTCATGTACGGCGTCTCCTCGCCCGATGCACAGAGCATGTTAATGAAAGCAACAGTAGTCAAGAACGCACTAATCAATGGCGCGGTACTAGCCTGCATCGACGCGCCTTGCGACGCTGACCCGTTCCGATTTCTTGGCATTAAATGGTTCGTGAAAGGCCCTCCGACAGGTCTCCAGGGCATCGTGAAGCCTCGAGACTTGGTGTTTATTGAAGCTACAGGGATCACAACCCGACCTAATGGTGAGCGCATTGGCTACCAGCTTCTCCACTCGGTGGATCTGCCTCAGTATCGTGACATGGAGCCGCGTTCTGGGGTCGAAGTAACGCGCGGTCGAATCTCAAGCTGCTCAATATTCAGGGAAGTACCCGCAGGACTTGGAAGCAGACATTCCAAAGTCGACGTGTACGTCAAGGGATATGTAGAGGCGCACGGGAAGCTGCTGGACTCAGTGGCTCTTACCGCCGCTTCAACAGGTCTGATGAGCTCCTGGAACTCTGTAGAGTGTGCGAACCTCAAGAAACTCATGTGGTGCTTCCGCCAGCAGCCTGACTGGGGATGTGGCCGACGTCGCAACAAGCATCGACCCAGTCAACACTCCCACGCCAGCAACAGTCTTAGCTACTCAAACTTAAGTCAAATCGGCAACAACACTAACAGTATGAGCACTACACGTCGGCCACCTCGCCGACAGGAGTCTGAGGACGCACACGTATCTACGTGTGGCACATGTATCAAACGTCTGACCAAGCTAAGCGGTGCGATCTCCTGCGCGCTGTGTCATCAAAGCACTTGCTCTCGCTGTCGAGTGTCTCGGACACTGAAAGAGGTGAACGGGGAGCTGTGGCTGCGTCAAGAAGACGTGCTCATCTGCAAGCGCTGTGTCCTTCAAGTCGACAATCTCGCGGCTGTGGACGTCGCGCGAGCGGAAGTGGAGGCGAAGTGGCACTCGATGGATGGTAGCTGTGCAAGCTCCCAAGGCGGCTTCAAGAGCTTCGCCAGCACAGGTGTGACAACCGACACAGGTGCGAGCAATACGACGCTGCCAACAGAAGAAGAATACTCAATCTCTGTGCTGTCACCGACTACAGATCAACCCATCGACTCGTTCCGCGGCTTGGAACTTCAACCTGAAATTGATGAACAAAGTGACGAGCACCAAGAAGAGAAGGAGAATGTACCGCTGTCAGACCGCGAGCGTCGAGAACAAATCTGGTCGCAGATAGTGGAGCTGCGCATGGTGGCCGAGTCCATCTACCAACTCACTTTAGAGACCTCCGAGTCGCTCAATACCCCACCACGGACCCACAGATGAGCATAGGAAGAAGCACAGATAACGATAAATGCATTACAATTCGGAACAAAAACCTTACGAGCACGTTTCACTTTCTTGTCTCTCAATTCAACAAGTCGGTCATGACACTGTCGGAGCGTGCACGCGGTGAGTCCAGCATGCACAAGCTCTCTACCGACGCCGTGCAGAAGCTGTTGTCCAGCGAGAAGTTGCGTGCCAGCGCGTCCAACGTGCTGGGTGTGAGCGGGTTGAGCACCTCGGGGCGTTGTGGACGCAGCATTTCCTGTCGTTGCACCTCCTTGGCGTCGAGTTGCTTGACGAACTCGCGACACGGAGGGCAGATCCGTATCGGGAACTTGCGTGCTCTAAAGTACGGGTCGATCTCGTACAGATCTTTCTTGACGCGGCAGTTGGAACACAGCGGCGCCTTGCACAAGTTGCACACTCGGTGCGCGGCTCGGTATTGCCAGATCTTATTAGCCACGCTCTTGTCGCACGAGGCGCAGCGCTTGGCCAGTTTGGCGTGAAAGGCCTTGACGCTGTTGCTGTGTACGCGGTGGTCGATGCACCAGCGCAGTTTCTTTGCATACGCGAAGTCTGGTACAGTCCAGACCTGCTCGATGCACTTAGCAGCGTGGGCCATAGCTAGGGGCCCCAGGATGCTGCCCATGTCGGCTTCCATACTGTAGCTCTTGATGAACAAGTCGACTGTTCCATTGGGTCGTTCGCGGTAAATGGAGCCGATGACGATGCGTGTACGGCGCAGGCCGTCGACGGGTGGGAAGGCGGGGTGGTCGATCGAGTGGTGCACCTCGTAGCCAATGAACTCGCCCGTGTCACGGCGTCTCAAGGTGCCCGTACCTCCTAAGAACATGACTTCTCTAGGGGCCACAAGCTTTCCGGACACGCCTCGAGGTGGACGCACCTCAATCCACTTGAGAGCAAGAAACCGGAACGGGTCTTCCTCGGTCGGACCCATGAGCTGTTTAAGAACGGCCCCGTTGCCGATGTTCTTGTCCACGACGGCGGATTTAAGTGCCATAGCTTGGCTGTTGCCCATAAAGACACCGTACATGAGCTCACTTAGTGGACACTGTACGTAGCCCATGCCCAGCACTACGTCTTTGGATGGGCGCGACGTGGTGCTGCGTCCACCATCCGCCGCCACGTACGCGGCTTCGGGCGCGTCGTCGCAGCGGGTGTAGGTGGTGAAGTGATCCTTGTGGTGGATCTTCTTCCAGAGACGCGGGTCCTGCTTATCGTGTGAGCGCGGTTCTACGTCGTGTTCGTCCAGGTCGCGCAGTGTGCGGTCCAGCAGCTGCATGGCCATCTCTTGGAACTTGAGCTGGTCCTCTTCGGACAGCTCCGCGGCCTGGCGCGGCGGCTGCACGGGCATCGCCACCATGGCTGAAGTTAGTCTTGTTGGTCTGGAAGAGCGAATTCAGGTCTGGCAATGAGGGCACATGGCAATGCATCGAGTGCAGCATGGCGGGGGAGGTGGCGATGGCGCATGTGCTACGTCGAACGAGACGTGGACCTGACGACAATAGTTTAAAAGGGTGATATTAGAGAGGTTGAAGTGACCGCTGTAGAGAGCAAACAGTGAGCTGTAATAATACATAAGCATATGAATATACAATATTAGAATATTACTTGATACCGCGGGATTTGGCAATGATGACCCGAGGTCAGGAAGCGCATCAGTGGTGGGATGCCTGGCAGAGCCTATCGCAAAAGGCTTCAAACAGCAACTACGGCAACATACAAGCACAGTAGAGGCCTGCGCACTGCCTTGTTGTCTTTGTTGCTCAATGGCGCATGCGGCAAGTTGAAGGCTTTTGTCTGAGTAGGCTCGTCGCCGTGTTTACAAAATGTTTACTGCCCCCGCTGCACATGAATTGCGAAGGGCTCTCTATCATCGAGCCACCCGCTTTTGACGTTTCACAGCAGGTAGTGCCGACAGACTAGAGCTGTCGACGTCCGGTGTATCCGCGATTTTACACCTCGGACGTCCCAGGTCGCAAAAGACGTCCTGAGATACACCTACCCAAATCAGGCGACGCCCGCTTCCGTCGCAGAAGTTCTGGAGCAGCGACACTAAATGTGGCAAGTAAATATATTTTTTGTGGTTTAATATTTCTATTTGTGGCATTAACATATTCTCAATTGCACTAGCGCAAAGATCACATACTGTCTATCACTAGCGACGTGTCCGTGATCTTTTGCGCCTCGTGCAAGTACACGTAGCTCAGTACTGATCAGCGGGAGCCAGAAGGATGTACCGGGAGGGCAGCTCTTGTCCAACGCGACGATAGACCACGCCAGCTTCGCGTCGTCCCAGCACACCCGAGATCCCTTCATGACGCTAATGCTTACGACCCAACGGTACATGAGCACGTACGTGCCAGCCGCCGTGGTACCGGGCTCTTTGTCTGCCCACGACCACACCTAAGCCGCCATCCGCGGTGTCCAAGGCGATGAGGCCCACGACCCGTCGTAGATACTTGGGAAAACTGTCACCGTATATATTGCGCGTAAGCCTCCTGTTGCAGCGAGCGAAACGTACCGAAGCTATTCTGACCACGACCGGATCCAGTTTGTGTTGCTGCAATCGTGATGTCATTGATCAGACGCTTGGCGTCCCGATGAACTCAGCCTTCAGCTTCTTCTTAGCCATGCACATGTCTTACAGACTGTATGCAAACCCCCGTCTTGGTGCTTGTGAGGTTCAACACCTGGTGACCAGCGCTACTAGACTCGTTGATGCTACCGCCTGCCCACATGCCCTTGGTTAGGACGTCGAGCGCCATCACTGGAGCTAGCAAGTCTCCAAATGTATCGATGAACAGCGTGTCGATGGCGTCGAACTTGTCCGATCGCTTGATGTCCGCACCAGTTTCCAAATACACCACTACGAACTCCGTCGGGTGCGCGCTCAGATACGCATTGATCTCGTCCATGGAATCTTTTGTCAACGGCTGCTCGGACACTTTAATACCGGAGATCGACGGGAAGCGGCCCAACACCTCCGGCCCCCAATTGGGTCTTGCCGAACGCTCCGAAGAACCCAATCACAGCGTCCGAGCGAAGGTTGCCGCATCGAGATCGTTGAGGAAGAAGTGTGTGTCGACCTAATGCCGATATCGAGTGTCCGTCACACTCAGCACCTGGTCGTTCGTCTTGACGTAGGGATGCATTAAGCTAACACTACAAGAACCTCGAATTGAACCTTTTCAATTTAGCTTGTATTCTCGGCATGACGAGAATATCCCTGATCGTGTCATCCTTTAGAGCACCATGCCGTTTGGTTACCGTGTTGCCTGCCGTGGAAAATGCACGTTCGGAAGGTATTGAAGTGGCTGTACAACCCAGTTATTTACGAGCATGAGGAGAAATTGTTGGAAACTGCGTGCGCTTTTGTTTCCACCACGAAAGGGCCGACGGCAGCTTCTTCCCCACAGCTCTGCGAGATAGTCTAAATGGCAGCCGACTTGGAGCATCCTGTTGTGGTCTAACTAACTTCAACTTGCCGCAAATTATTGTTTCAGTTTGATTGGCACTCCTAACTGATTTTAACCAATCAGCAGTAGCGATTTGTCTGGGTGTCGGCAAAGCGTCGGCAGGACGTCCCTCGTAAATTTCGGACGTCCCTCTCGAGCGACGTCGAGTCGACATCCAAGACCGCGACGTCGACAGCTCTACGACAGACACGAAATACGGGTACCGCCAGTACGTTGGACGACTGTGAAGTGTGGAGGAAGAGCCAGGACTGCGTCCAGCTCAAACCTGAGGCTCAGGTGCCTCCAGGACGCGATGCTCGCGTCCAGAAGCCGGACTTCGACGGACCATTGGCTGGCGAGCCGCCAGCCCCATCCTACTGCTAATCCTACCAATATATGTTACCGGGGTTTTTCCGTGTGCTGCTACACACTCGACAACTTGCGCCGTCAAGAGCAAGCAGCAGCACTCGGTTTTCTCCCCTGCTGGACTTTCAGTCCCTGCAACTTACTGTTGTTACGACTACTTCCTTCATCGCAATGGTCACCACTCGGCGTAGCCGAGGAGCGACCATCACTCAGGTTATGAGCCCAAGAAGGAGAGCTGGAAGCCCAGTCCGGAGTACGCAGAGCTCGCGCGCGTCCGACGAGTTGCAGTTACCTGCAAGAGCAGACGAGACAACGTCAGACGAGACACATGCGACGTCACAAGCGTCATCAACCCGAGTTGAGCAACAACTCGAGCTCTTATTGGCCCAATTCGGTACCGTTATGACTACACTGACAAATCAGCAGCAAGTGCAGAACATTCCAGTGGAAGCATCTACCCGACGCCCACAAAGGCAGCTCATTCAAGAATTCTCAGCGGCTCGAGCACAACCGCAGCGAGTGCCGACGCCGTACGGGCCCCGCCGAGGAAACCCAAGCACAGAGGAACTTACCGCCGACGCCAGCACGCGTCAGAGCGAGCCGCCAAGAAACCCAAGAACGTCCGAGGCTGCAGCGCAGCCAGTCCAGACCGAGGCCGGGACCGACTCCGCTACGGACGAACCCATGGTTGGAGACCACAGATGCACGCGGTGCATGAACCAGAGCGGACACGTGCAGTTGAACGCAAGACTTACCGATACCAACTACCAGACGTGGCGCGTCGAGATTTGCTCCATTCTCGACGTCGCACACCTCTTGGACTCCATCATGGAGCGCGAAACGATGGCAGACCAACGTAACGAAGGACAGCGCGGCTGTTTCAAGCAACGACTGCGTGTTGCTCAACGTGAACTTACGATGGGACTTAGTCAAGAACTACAGATGCGATTTACAAGTGTTATTCAACGTGCTGATCCTATCCTACTGTGGCGAACACTGGAAGATCATTTTGATAACCATCCTGGAGTAAACAGCGTGTTTCTCAAGCGAGATATGCTGAATCGTCGCCTGCAACGTGACGAACGACTTGACGATTACATTCGTGACATCGACGACTACCAACAGAGACTTCGCCGCGCGAATAAGCAGCTGCCT